AATTATTTACGAGGACAGTACCATCATAAAGATTTACTTTTTCAAAAGCTAATCTATGATTATCAAAAAAATAATTGGGCTGGGCACCTGTGGCTCATGCCTATAATCCTAACTACCCAGGAGGCTGAGATCTGAGGATCATGGTTCAAAGCCAGCCAGGGCAGAAAAGTTCATGAAACTCTTATCTCCAATTAACCACCAGAAAACTGGAAGTGGTACTGTGGCTCAAGCTGTAGAGTGCTCACCTTGAGCTGAAGAGCGCAGGGATAGCGCCCAAGCCCCATGATTGACCAAAAAATAAAAATTAATAATAATAATTGGAAGAGGGGAGGGGAAGGAAAAAAACAAAATGCTTAAATAGGGATACAGGTTGACCTATTGTAACAATGAGATATAGAAAACACTATGTTGAAAAACGAACTTTACAATATAGGTGGGCGAGGGGGGGTGGGAGGAAGTTGTGGAGGTGGGAGGGAAGGGATGGTAGGGGAAAAACAAAGGAGGAGGTAACAAATGCTTGATAGGAAATGTACTCCTTACCTTGCTCATGTAACTGTAACCCCTCTGTACATATTTTACAATAAAAAGTATAAAAAATATAAATAACAATTGGAAGAGAGTGGAAACGAATAGATTACTGCAGTGAGCCAGGTAAGGAATGATGAAAGGGTGGTGAGTTTACAAATGCAATTGAATGCCTTAGATAAGGTTATATTCTATCCTTACTAAGTGAAACAGTTGAACTAAGTCTTTTAAAAAAATGTGAAGCCCTTGCTGTTCCTGCTGCTTGAATGATACAGGGAAGAATTAGAAGTTGATTTTTAAAACTGAGGATCAAAGTATACTATTACTCTCCTATTTTTTACTTGTGCTTAAGGATTGTGAGGAATATAACTTTCATCCTTGGAATTTTCCATTGAATAATTTAGAACTCCCTGGAAAATAATTTAAAGCATTTTCTGCTGAAAAGATCTAAAAAGGTTGTTTTAAACCCAAATCAACTAATCACAAGTATGCTGATTGTTGTATTTAAGAGATCTATTTAAGAGGATCTATCTATGAATTTAAGTTCAGTCTTCAGCCAGGCACTGGTGAAGTGTAGGAGGATTATATTAGTCTAGTATCACTCACATATTAAGTCAGCATGTGGGATCTTTTAAAGTTCTGCCTTAACTCCACGTATTTCTTGTCAGATTGGGAAAAAGTCTATTTGAGGGGCATACATGGGAAGTGTTAAATATACCAATTACCAATTTAGGAATGTAGCAGAAGGGTTGGTCTGGGCAGAATTCTGAAAGAGAGGTTTGCCAAGAGTGTCACCTTGAGAAATGACTCATTGGTTCAGTAAATTGCTTTGTTCAAATTGTGCCAAATAGATACTGCTTATGTGTTATGAAATATACTTTCTTGCGTGGGTACAAAAATGGCTATAACTGGCTTAGTGCCAATCCAGTTCAAAGAGGACGTAGAAGGCTATATGAGTTCCAGGTTAACTTGAGTTTCTGGAGCTGAGGGACATGATAGAGAAAACAAACATGACACAGTGCAGAAATACAAAAGAACGCTGAGTTTGTGAGTTCCTTTTAGCAATAATATGCTGTCAGGACAGGGTAAATTTCATTCCATTTTTCTTAATGCAAGTTCCACTTTCAATATTTGGGATTTTTAGTGCTGGCTACTAGTTGCAAGGCATCCAGTGCCTTTAAAAAGTATTTAGCATAATTTGCCTTGCTTTTGTAGGACAGTATTTCTATTCAGATATACTGATGACAATGTGAAAAACAGTAGTTAGACTTTGTGCATGCAGCTGAAAATGAGCTGCTACTTGCTCTGGGGTTTACTACCCATGGTACTTTTCATTGTAAACTACTTTCAAGTTACTCAGCAACTCTATTATGTGTCCTACATGTTTGCTTATGCTAGAAGTTGTAAAGAATAAAACATGGTTCTTTTCTCCCTCTCTTCCATAACAAATTTAGTGATAGAAACACTGCTTCCCAGCCCGTAGGCATGACCATAATATATCTTGCTGTATTTCACTTCTCTCTTTAAGAGCATCTAACTAATTTGGCCTGTCGTTGTTCCAAAAGAAAAAAAAAGAGGAAGTTGTATGCTTAACTGACTTATTTCCTGATGTTATATTTTTTGCCTTTGTCTAAAATGACCCCTGTCTCTACCTATCAAATATTTTATTGATTTGTGGATTGGAGATATTTTACTTAGGGATTGGCTGGTAAGATGCAAACTTTCGTTTTGGATACTGTCATCCTTTCCCTCTCTCTGTTTTTCCCTCCCATCCCCATTCACAAGTTGTATAGTTCATTTTTAACACAGTGTCCACAGTGTCTAGTGAGTGTTGCATTTGTTCACCCTAAGAATGATGGGGGGGCAGAGTGTAGTTGTGGAAGTGGGAGGGAAGGAATGGTAGGGGAAAAACAAAGGCAGAGGCAACAATGCTTGATAAGAAATGTACTCATTACCTTGCTCATGTAACTGTAACCCCTCTGTACAGCATTTTCACAATAAAAAACTTATTTTTTAAAAAAATATTTTGAATAAAACTTTTGATTATATTTTGACTTCCAACGGTAGGAAATGAAGAATCTTCATTACAACTTTGAAGAATGATTTATGTGTGAATTTTAGGCTTAAGAAGCTTGATGTATTTTATTTACTCTCATTTTAGACGTGATGGAGACAAAGTATATGGTAAATGGACATGGCCTTTTAAATTTACACACAAGGAAATTATCCCCTCCTAAAACACCATAAATAATTACTATGTTTTTTTCCTGAGGAGCTTAAACCTTTATTATTTCAGAAAATAGATGTACATCAAAAGAGTTGTATTTATTTATATTCATCTATACTCTCAAGAATCCAAATTGTCATTGTTTCCTTTTTCTTCTACTTTCAAAGCAAGTAGAGAATATTCTCTCTCTCTCCTTCCCTCCCTCTCCCTTCCTCCCTCCCTCTCCCTTCCTCCTTCCCCCTTCCTCCCTCCCTCTCTCTCCCTCTCTGTGTCTCTCCCTCTCCTTTTCTCTCCCTCTCTCTCTCCCTCTCTCTCTCTCCTTCTCCCTCTCCCTCTCCCTCTCCCCTCTCGTCCTGGGGCTGAACTCTGGGCCTGGGTGCTGTCCCACAGCTCTTCAGCTGAAGAGGAGCCCTCTACCACTTGTGCCACAGCGCCACTTCCGGCTTTTTTTCTGCTTAAGTGGTGCTGAGGAATCAAACCCAGAGCCTCATGCATGTGAGGCAAGCACACTCCCACTGAGCCACCTTCCTAGCCCAGAGTTCAGGCCCCACAACCGGACCCAAAAAAAAAACCCAAAAAACAAAAATCCATGATATTTCTTTCTACAGTTTCAGTTATCTATGGTCAAGTGCAGTTTGAAAATATTAAATGGCAACTTCCAGAAATAAAAAATTTATAAATTTAAATTGTATGTGTGTAGTGTGTTTAAATACTATATTATCCTGCATCCATCTGGGATATACTCATATAATACTCACTAGTCACTTTGTAGCCGTCTTGGTTATCAAATAGACTGACAGAATCACAGTACTTATGTTTAAATTTCTGTGTTTCTCAACAATGATCCAAAGAGTAGTGATGCTGGCAATTTGGATATGCCAAAGAAAAGTTACAAGTGCTTCTGTTAAATAAAAAGGTGAAAATCAAGTAAGTTGAAACTGGAGAAGAGGATAGTAGAGAGAAAAGATACTTGCATGACTTATATATTGCTTATAATTATTCTATTTTGTAATTAGGTATATTAATCTTTTATGGTGCCTAAGTTTAACTTAAATTTTATCAGTTTGTTTAGGAAAAAAGTTACATTATATACAAGCGTTCATTGGAGGCTTTGGAACATATCTCTCATGGATAAGAGGAAACTAATAAATAACAATGATAGCACAAAAGGAACTTTAAGCCACCCATTACTCTACAGTGATAATTGACGAAAGTTATTCTTTTTTATTTTATTTTTACCATTTATACATCTGATTTCTCATATGAAAATGACCATTTGGTTTCTTTCTTTTCTTTTCTTTTTTCTTTTTTTGGTCAGTGGTGGTGCTTGAACTTTGGGCCTGGGCACTGCCTCTCAGGTCTTCACCTCAAGGCGAGCGCTCTAATACTTGAGCCACAGCGCCATTTCTGTTTTTCTGGTAGTTAATTGTAGATAAGAGTCTCACAGACTTTCCTGACTAGGATGGCTTTGAACTGTGATCCTCAGAGCTCAGCCTCCTGAGTAGCTAGGATTACAGGTGTGAGCCACTGGCTTCTAGCCATTGATTCATTGATTTATTTCTAAAACTATACCAGGATTATAAGAATAATTTCACCTTGGAAAATTTGCCATTTTATATAAATATTAATGTAAACATCATTATACTTGGCCACTGAAAATGTGTTTTATTAATTATGTCTTAAATATTTAATTCTAAAATCGAAGAAAAATTGGGTGATTTTATAATCTAACAAAATTGCCTTCTCTTTTGGAAGAACAGTTACTAAGGTTTGAACTCAGTCTCTTCTTGCTAGGCAGATGCTCTACCACTTGAGCCATATCTCCTGCCCATAAATTCTTACTAATGAGAAAAATAAGCTAGATTTTTCTTGTTAACTTTCATTTCCATTTAACTTTTTGAATATTAGGTGAAATTGGAGTTTGTGAATCGGTTTCTGATACAGAAGAACCTTTTATTTGTGTGGGTGTTTGTTTTCTGAGCTCCCAGAGCTGGTTCACAACTGGATATGATTTGTACAAACTTTAATTTGCATACTTACCTTTCTTGATCTGCTAGTTTTCTTTTTAAAGAGAAGCTTCCTGAAAGGGCTTTGGTACTGCCTTGCTGTTGTCTGTACTTGATTTCTACATTTTTCCTCCTTTACTCTGCTCATTGCATTCTACTGTTAACTAAAAACATTATTTATTCAGAAGGACATTATGGCTAATTCACTATTAAGTTTCATTCTTTCACTTTTGGCCAAATAGATACCTGGGGAAGGACAGGAACAACAGACAGATTCCACCAAAGGGCGATGCCTAAGGAGAACTGTCAGCGTCCCTTCCGAGGGTCAGTTTCCTGAGTACCCACCAGAGGGCACCGCTAAACTGGGTAAGCTTACAAAAGAAAAATTCCTAGATTTTATTGGATAGTTTATGGACTCGTCACTGTTTCGGTAAAATAAAATATCTTGTATTTCCTGTTTAGTAAGTACTGAATTGAATTGTATGTTGACCCAGAATTAGAGGTCATCAAAGCGTTCTGTTCTTTAAAACTAGGTGACAATAAAGTTGTCTTTACAGAGATAGAACTTATGTGAGTGCTAGCTTGTAAGATTGAGTTTGGTCCTAATCAAATTGTTATCAAAATGTTATTTTTGTGGGTGGTTTTTTGCTCTCAGTTTTGAAGGAGTATTGGTAATATCGTTGAAGCACTAAGATTTGTAGGGAAGGGGGAACTTAGTCTGAAGTAATTTGAGTATATCTGTTCATTTAGCTTTTACTGATGTTGTCTTGTAAATAGAATGCCAGATTAGGCTATTTTTTTTTTCAGATTAGGCTAATTTAACCAAACTCCTTTTGTATGTTCTACATACATTATATTCAGAACCATGGTTGTAGCAGACGACAAAAGGAAGAAATCTTAACTCCTCCATTTCAGATTGGGGATGTCATTCTGTTGCCTCACACTCATAAGGTTCTGAATTTGATCGGTACCCACCCCTACAACAAAAACATCCTCCCCAAAAGAAACCCAAAACCTTATTTCAATTGGTATATTCTAAAGGAAACTAATGTCAAATAAAAAGAGCACCAAATGTATTGTTTGATGTTTTTTATTTTTAACAATGGGTATTAAACTAGCAAGAGGGCTGGGAAGGTGGCTCAGTGGTAGAGCGCTTGCCTTGCATGCATGAGGCCCTGGGTTCGATTCCTCAGCACCACATAAGCAGAAAAAAAAAAGCCGGAAGTGGTACTATGGCTCAAGTTGTAGAGTGCTAGCCTTGAGCTGCTGAAGAGCTGAGAGACAGCACCCAGGCCCAGAGTTCAGGCCCCATGACCGGACCCAAAAAAAAAAAAAGATACATTAAACTAGCAAGATATTTTTAAGATTATATGATTTATAATAGTGGAGGAATTGCTTCAGGGCTTTGCATTGTTGTATTTTCTTAGTGGCCCCTAGACCTTTGGTCATAGACATTTGGTGGATTGACAATCTTTTGCTATCTTCATAGTAGTCAGTGTGATGATTCAGTGAGTTTGCTTCTGTTTTCTAAAATAAAGGTTTGTGTTTTTTAATTTGTGTATATATTTTTGTCTTTTTATTTTCTTAAGGAGCTGAACAATCTTGTTAGTAATTTGAATCCTTTTTCTTCCCCTTATTATCCTGTAACAGTTGTTTTTCTAGAAATTAATCAAAATAGCATATATTTTCTCCAAGGACATTTGAGAAGTCATATGACATCTTAATTTTTGTTGTGCCTCCTTAGTATGTATTGAAACCAATTAGGTGTGTGCTTAAATTATATTGGAAACCTGTCTAGGTGTAACCATTTTATCCATTTATATTTCATACACTGATATTTCATATGCATTGACTGACTTAGTGTCACCTTTCAGTTCCTTTGCTTTTGTTACATCTAATTTTACATTGATAACTATCTTTGCCACTTCTCTAGCAAACTTTGCATATTCATGAAGTCGCTGGATTTTGAGGAAGTATAGTGATAGTCTGAAAAATTATTGCATTGTTATAGAACATAGAATTATATAGTAATTTATTAAGTATCTGCATTGTTCCAAATACTGGTCTCAAAGACAAAACTAAGAACTAGAACTTCCTTTGCTTTGTCTTTGGCAAGCCTGGAAGTCATCTTGACTCATGACATTCATGGCTCATTTTCATAGTGATTGTCCTAGATTAGGATATAAAGATATCAGAGAGAGAAAAAAGGAATTATAGAGCCATTCTTCTTTCTATGCCAATTTAATCTTGAATTTGATATTCTATTGTTTGATATTTATTGTCTAGTGATTTGTCTTTAGGCAAATCACTATGTCAAATAGTTCATTGGGTAATTGTTGTATATGTAATAGTTTTATACCAATCCCTAAGAATTTAAAAGGTATAAGATAATCTGCCTTTAGTAGATTTTTAAATTCTATTTTGCGCATGTGCCATCCTAGGGCTTAAACTCAGGACTTAGACGCTGTTCCTGAGCTTTTTTCCTCAAGGCTAGTGCTCTACCACTTGAGCCACAGCTCCACTTCAACTGTTTTTGGTAGTTAATTGGAGGTAAGAGTCTCACAGGCTTTACTGCACAGGCTGACTTTAAACCACAGTCCTCAAATCTCAGTCTCCTGAGTAGCTAGGATTACAGGCATGAGCCATAAGCTCCTGGTTACTTTTAGTAGATTTAAAAAAAAAACTTTATCTAGTGAAAATAATGATGAATGCATGTAGAAATAAAAATGTATCCAAAAATCAGTTGCATTTCTACTGATATTTCTATGCACTAATAAATGGGAAGTAAAAACACTTAAGTATATATTTACTGTAGCACTACTAGTTAGTGCCTAAAGATAAAGAATTCTAATAAGCGATGAATGACTTCTACATAAAAAATGTAATTGAAGCTGGGTGCCGGTGGATCACGCCTGTAATCCTAGCTACTCAGGAGGCTGAGATCTAAGGATCATGGTTCAAAGCTAGCCCAGGCAGAAAAGTCTGTGAGACTCTGATCTCCAGTAAACCACTAGAAAACTGGAAGTGGAGCTGTGGCTCAAGTGATAGAGCGCTAGCCTTGAGCTGAAGAGCGCAGGGACAGCGCCCAGGCCCAGAGTTCAAGCCCCATGACCAACAACAACAACAACAAAAATTTGAAGAAAATAAAAATGACCTAAATAGAAGATTATAGAATTATCATATAAGACAATTATTTCTGCTCTCATCAAAATTACATGTTTACCCACACAGTTTCCCTAGAAATTTCATACACCATTAATAAGTAAGGTGGCAAAAACAAGATGGGAAGTGTTAATCTACTAGTATCAAGGTCTCTTTTAAAAGTGCAATGTGATATGGATAGAATAATAGACAAGTAGACTGGTGAAATAGAATGGAGAGCCCTGAAATGAATCCACATGTGTATGGTTTGGCATTGGTACTATGTCAGTTAGATATGTTTATGAGGAATGAACTAGGGGTCTTGACCTCAGTCTTATATGCAAAATCAATTCTAAACATTTTCTAGATCTAAACAGAGAACTAATACAATGAAGCCTCTCAAAGTAATATTGAGGATATTTCCCTGATATTTGATAGAGAAGGATTTCTTTAAAAAATACTAAAATACCATATAGTCATATGTTTCACTAATCAAACATTTATCAGTGGGAATAATTGATAAATGTAACTATATTAACATTAAGAATTCAATTTATCAACACACTCTTAGCAAAGTGAAAAGATGAAAATATAGATAGGAAAATATGCCTGCAACACCTATAATAAAGAGCTTTAATGTAGTTTATATAAACACTTCCAAATAGAAAAATTGAAAAGAAATTCACTGAAGAATGTACTAAAGAATAGAAAGAGACTGCATGCTACATTATTCCACTTATTATATGTAGCTAGCTCTAAACAGCCAAAGTACTTATGGTTTTGATGTTAGAATATTGGTTAGTTTTGAGAGGAGTCTGGAATAGTAATACTTGGTAGGAATATGATGTAGGACATCACAAGGGCTTTGACTTTAACTCTTTCAGATAGCTTCTATACTGAGAATAAGGGTGAAAGCATAGAGTTCAGGACCAATTTGTATGCTAATGCAATAATCTTGTCAAGAGTTAAGAACTTTGGCCAGAATTTACTTCTACCTTGGATAGTTCTTAGACTCATGAATTCAGTTCACAGATTACTCAAAAGGCTAAAATTAAACTGAGTTTTAATTCACTGAATTATTTTTATTGAAATATGTTATTTTCTTAAAGCTCATGAATATTATGTTTTTGTATTGGTTACTTTTTCATTGCTGTGACCAAATACTGAACAGAATAACTTAAAGGAGGTAGAACCAGGAATAATTACTCTGAAGGCTGTTTTGTTGGATAGTTTTGACTTTTCTTGAAAACCATGAGCAACTATATAATTTTTCTTTGAAATCTGATTATATATAGATTAAAAATATAAAAATATATATGTATGCTCTAATATATAAATATATAAAATATATTATATAATTAGTATATGTTAATATTTTATGTTATAGCATATATATTTCTTACATACTACATATGTTATTACATGTATTATATAATGCACATGTAAATGTATATAAAATATATAAATATACATAAATATATTCTGGAAAAATAGACTGTGGTCTGAAATAAAGTAGCATTAGAATCAGTTCTGTTGTAATATAACATTTAATCACAACAACGATTGTACAGATTTGCACAGCAAAAAAATCATAGTTTATTGAGAAAATGAGATTAAGAACACTATTCTAAAAAACTTAGCCAGTGGCATAAAAAATGATGGAACTCCCAGCTACTCGATATTTAGATTACTTTTCATGTATTTTTTTATTTAGATGAAAAGAATTGAGACCACTCTGGACAAAGGTAGAGAGATCCTTTCTCATCCCATAAGTTGGGTATGATCATACACAACTGTGATTCCAATTATACAGGAGTTGTAAATACAAAGATGGAAGGTCCAGACTGGTCTAGACAAAACATGAGAGCCCATTAGGAAAACAACTAAAGCATAAAGGGCTGAGAACTTATCTCAGGTGGTAGGCTGCCTGCCTTATAAGGGCAAGTCCCTGAGTTTAAACAAGACAAACAAAACTGAGTTTTAAAAAATACTTCAATAACTGTAGCACTTTACCTCTAAAAACCCCTAAAATATTGGTGTTAGTGAGCATCGGAATAGTTTGTAAGTTTATTGCAGAGTGGTAGAAGGAAGATTATTTATTAGGTATGTTTAGGCGTTTGCACATGGAGCGAATTGAGGCAACTAGTAGGTGTTTGAGGTACATATGTCGTGAATTGAGGCAACTAGTAGGTGTTTGAGGTACATATATCTATCAGTGTTTTCTG